TTTTGACACAAGGTGTAAAATTGATGCAGCCGAAGGTACTGTAAGTTTGGCGTCGATACGTCAAGTGGTTTGGAAGTTATTGCAGAAAAACGGGAGGGGGGCTATGAATAGCCCCCCCCCCCCCCCAGTGGGGCGCGGGTTAACATTACAGCCTATGATGGAGGTGTTAGGCACCACGAATCCATCATTCCAGCGCTGGGGGCCATTGCCCTTGCCATCTCAACTACGGACCTAACCTAACCATCTCGATTTAGCCAGGGAATGATTGTTCTTTTGTTACGATTTTTCATCATAAGTGTAGCCTTCTTAGCTATGTAGTAAAATAATTACAATAATTGTAAAATAAATGTAGGTTTATGCCAAAGTAAACCATTTAGTCTTGTACATAGATGGGTACCTTCCAATCCTACTTATTAGAATAGCAAGTTCCACTGATCAGAAACTACTCCTTGCTAAAACTACTCCTTGCTAACTCTTATGAAAACTTATACAAAAATGCTGGAATGGAATTCGCTGTACAACCAACAAATTACACAAACACTACAACATGCTACACAGCATTATGTTTTCCTTGCTAGGCTCGCTAGGCTGCAGATGAGGTCTTGTCTTCATTTCCAGCACGGTTAATATGCTGGTGCAGATTTGTTACCCTGTCTGGTGTGGCTTATCAATTGTGTTGCCACACTGCAGTCATGGATCATGATGTAGGAATGTATGTCAGTGGACAGGCAGGCCATTGCCAGGTGATGAGGACTTCAGTCTAGTCATTGGCTTGTTAATGTTCTTTCCACCTTTCCAGGGCTATCATTTCTGCACTTCTTTAGCACTGAAGAAGATACCTTCCATTGGTATTTACGTTGTGAACCAGTATCTATCTACCTGAATAAGACAACCATGGCTGAGTAAGTTCAAGTTGTTTGGTCCTATGGTTATATTTAAATGTAGAGCTAACAAGTGGGCTCATACTGAATGCTAATAATTGCTGTCGGTCATATCTGTATCAGTCTTTGGCATTTCTATGGGAGCAAGGTGTGCTTTTGTGCTACATGCCCAAAATGATTTATCTTTTTTTCAGCCGTGAAGCCCAAATGAGGACATCTGTGAACCAGAAGCTGATTGAAACAGGAGAAAAAGAAAGGTGATATAACCTTAAACAGGGATGCATTGTGTGCTATTGACTATTCAGTTGATATCGAGGCATTAACATGTTTTGCACTTCTGACGCCTTTTTTGTTGTCATGTTCATTGAAGTCTGTTGTTTATTTCATTGTTTTATTGCCTTTTTCATCAAATAATTACAGGAGGGGTGTTCACGGGCACCGCACACTGCTGCGTGCGCTGTGTGCGGTGCGTCCAGCAGGCGTGGGGGTAGGGGATGGGTAGGCGGCTCTGACGTCACGGCTGCGTGCGGTGGACGGTCCGCTGTGGCCGGTCCCGACCGGCCACAGCGATCGCTGTGTGCGGTGACGGAAGGCTGACGTAGGGACGAAGTGGGCGGAGCTTCGAGGCTGTGTGCGGTCCGACCGCACACAGGGCCCGTGAACAGCCCTAGGGACACAGGACATTTCAAATAAAAATCCTGCTTCAAAATTGTCTATATTATAGTTTTGATTTTGTTCTAAATTCCTACAGATCAACTTGCCATCTGGTATTGCTTCACACTTGCAAGTAATTACATTAGTTTGTGTCAACTTGTCATTTTTTTCTGTGAACCATAACATAATTTCACTCTTATTGGTACTATATCGTATAGGTACTGAACTATATCACACCCAAATGGTCAAATTTGCCCAATTGATCTTGCCCAATTTACCTTCTCAATCAAGCTCAATCGCCTACTGTATGGAAAGCTGTCCGATTCCTGATGCTGCCAGATTGTCTGACCTGTTTGTACCGCCCGCGGGCCAGGCTGAAAGAGCTGCTGCGGACGCGGCTGATCGAGTGCGGCTGGCGCGACCAGCTCAAGGTCCAGTGCAAGGAGGTGGTGCGGGAGAAGGGTCTGGAGAATGTCACCGTCGACGACCTGGTGACCGTCATCACCCCCAAGGGGCGAGGTGAGTCCTCCCGCGGCGCCGAGTGCGATCGGGACCAGGCAGCGCGGCCGCGTACTGGGTCGGGGTGTGTCCGAGGACAGTTCGCCCAGTAGCTTAGCTTGTAGAGCATATTTAACTTCCGGTCGCGAGAGCTCGGGCTCGGGTCGCTCCGGCGCTCGACATATGGGACCCCTGTCCGCGATGCTCTGCGGTTGGTGGGAGCAGCCGCGGCCAGGCTAAAGTCAGTTGAGTTGGATGGACTATATGGCGTCCGGCTTTGATGGGCATGCTAGTCTTTCCGCATCTAAATTCTCCCTTTACCCGGAATGGCCAGGTCTGGCGCTATGAGTCGGGGCTTTCGCAAGGCAATACTCAGAAGTATTTTCCGTGGTCGGGTAACAGCTGTCTTGATTGTAGTTCTTTCTATGTACATTTTATTTACTGATAAGAAAATAGATGAAAAGTGGATGTTTTCGGTTTCGGCTCTTTGTCTCTGCCACGCCTTGCAGCTCCACTCCGATGCACTTTATAAACCTTATACTACTGAAGGCCCAGTTTGTCCGTAACAAATCGCTCTAGTCCTGTATTTTATGTGTCAGTGCGTGGCCGTTTTGACGGTCTGTAATTTGATTATTCGAGACAGTTGCCGACTTAACGTGGACATGCTTCGTCCATATGACATTTAATGTGCACCATCATTTGTGCGATTTAACTCGATCTATGCATTGTCAGTGTAGGCAGCCTTACTTTATTACTTTGCAATGAAAACAAAATGATCATAACTTTGCGACAACTAAATACGCCTTAATCACAGATAATCACTTTTTCATTTACCTACTCGCCTGTATCGGCTTATGAACAATACGGCAGTTTCTAGCAATTCTCATTCATATTTTATGTGAAAATTATGTCAGTTTTTTTTTTTAAGAATGAGAACCAATTTTTCTCTTATCGCTGCCATTTTGCAGCTCTTGTGCCAGACTCTGTGAAGAAGGAGCTGCTGCAGCGCATCAAGACGTTTCTGGCGCAGCAGACGAACCTGTGATCGGCTGGCGACTAGCGCCGTGCCCGTGGTGTGATAGGACTGGGCGGTGTGACATCCCGTCCCGTGACGATGGCGAGGGACCGGTCTCCGTGTGACCTGTGACCGGTCAGCCGTGTGGGCTGAACCGGTGGCCGCCGGCACCCCTCCCCCGACCGATCGTGCCCAGCGCGGGGCGGCGAATGGCTGCTCAGGGCCGGCCAGGGAGTGAGATCGCACCTCTGTTCGATGTGAGTGATCGTGTAATCGTTTGTGTCGCCGCTCTGATCATTGTGATAGTTCCATCACCGCCACACGCGTGACTCATCCGCTTTCGGCCAGGTGGCAGCACTGCATGTTTCGCAACGTATTGTAGCGGGGCCAGCAAGGGTTCTGAAGTCACACGATTCGTGATTCCTGTTGCCACAAATTGTCGTGTTGTGCATGTGTTGTCTGATGAAGACGCAAATATCGCCTAGACATTTTCATTCAATGTGAATTGACCTCAAGAAATGATGGCACCATCGTAGTGTCCGTTCTGAAATAATACACCTTCACACAGGGATGCGGAGCCGGAGCCGGAGTCGGAGCCGGAGCCGCCGGAGCCGGCATATTTTGCCCGGAGCCGGAGCCGGAGCCGGAGCCGTGAAACAATATAGTCCGGAGCCGGAGCCGGAGCCGGAGCCGCCAAAAAAGGGGGCGACTCCGGCTCCTTTTTATTTTTTGAAGAGGAAAAAAATAATTGACCTAGTTCGGTTTGACAGTACAAGGCAGTAAAACATGGTACTTACGTCATGGGCCATCAAGTGAATGAAAAAAGCCGAATATCCCCAGTATCCCACAGTACGCAATCAATCAACTTCTTGTCTGCTCCTCCCCCCCCCCCACGTCTACTGCATCCCCAGAGCATGAGGACCGGTCATCAGGTGACGGCCATTGTTTTCAAGCCAGTGCAGTGGACTGCGACTCCCAGCACCGTCTCTTCCCCTCCCCCACCCCACCCCCAATGCAGCCGAGACTGGTGTCAGCTTACGATGGTTCAGTGAACTCCAATTCGCGGCGACTGCGTTTCCAATGCCATCGCTTCCTAGTTCTTTGTTCTGCCAGTTCTCTCCGAGGTGCGTTTGCGCGGGGACGCGGTGAGCCGGTCATGGCAAAGAGTAACGCGTATAACCAATCCAATGTTTCTTCCACCCGTATTTAATTGATTGCATAGGGGATGTACTGAGTCGGAGCCGGAGCCGCCGGAGCCGGAGCCGCCGGAGCCGGACCATTTTACTCGGAGCCGGAGCCGGAGCCGGAGCCGCCACAACATTTCACCCGGAGCCGGAGCCGGAGCCGGAGCCGATTTTTTTTCTCCGGAGCCGGAGCCGGAGCCGGAGCCGTCTGAAATTTCCACGGCTCCGCATCCCTGCGGCTTCACAGCTTTGTACCGATTCTTTTAAATTGTATACTTTTGATGCATCAGTAACCTTATTATCCAACCTTTTATAGACTGGGGCAGGGGGCTCCGTAGAACCCCCCTCCCAGTCACTCGCGTTATGGAATACACCCCAGTCATGTGCGGGTGAAATCATTATTTTAACTCCACGCCCTCCAAGGGCGCTATTGGAGCGCCCGTCGTTTGTTGGCTCACCCCGTTGTCAGTCGATCGCTGACGTGAGCCGGTGGTGCAGTTTGGGCCCGTCTGTACAGAGTCGACTGTGAACTGTTTGGGAACTCTGTGGGACCGCCCTCGCCCTCCGACTGAACAGTTAACCGCTGGGTTTACAACCCGACCCGACCCGGCTGATAGCGACCCGCGGCTATCGCAGCGGATTCAGTCGGTGACCTGCGTCACGTCTCCTGCTTGTTGAACTGTTTATCTCGGGGATGATTGCATGCCCAGGTCCCAGTAGGTGCTCGGCCAGATAGAACAGAAAGTAGGTGCTCTGAGTCCTGGCACATCGGAAAAGAAGCTTGTATTACAGTCTTCTATAGGTACAGTGTTCAGACACTGTTCGTGCGAAACAGTCACAAACGATCATGAACACGCGCACATATTGGAGTACTCGCAGTGAAACTGTACACCAGCTTCCTGGCTACAGATCACTTACATCTCAGGCTGCCAACGATAGCTAGACCACACAAAGCTTAGAAGGCTTTATTTACCTAACCCATTTTTACCGAGAATCATCAATTCTAACCATGGATCAGCAGAAATTAAGCAACTTCAAACGTTAACACTTTACAGCTTCTGCAATTGATTTGAACACAACTAGATTAATGGACACAGTAACACAAATTACGATGGAGATTGAATCATATATATTCGTACGCTATTGATCATAGGCGGCGGAACGGGGGTGGCACCGGGGCACCGTGCCCCCCTTTGATTTTGGCATTTTAACATTAGCCCTATGGGCGTTGGATGGGAAGAATGGGACCAAAAGTCGGCAGTGCCCCCCCCCCCCCTTAATTGAAGGTGTTCCGCCGCTACTGCTCTTGATCATTATTTGGTAATTCATACGTTTTCATGCCTACATGCAATATTTGCACTGAATGATACACATGTCTACATACTGAAAAATAGAAGCATATCTTTCACAAGGCATTCATGCAATTCTCATGTGCCGTTTAAACGGTGAGTACAAATCATTAATTTTTACCATGAAAACACAACATGTGATTTCAAACGTTGACAAGATGCAAGCATTTTAAGCAAGTCCTTGGCACTTCAAAAGAGCGATTGTCTGAGTCGGAGCGCTCGATGCCCGAGAGTCCCGACCGCACTCAGGCCTCTCAGAGGAACACAACTGTTGTTGCGCTTCCTTAGGTGATCAGTGAATGGTAAGGACGGGTTTGGTTAAGCTTGCTACGCTACGACTCAGATGTACTATCAAACAACCGAAATCGGCCTAAACAACCGAATTGTCCCGACGTCTCTTAATCAATCACTGGAACAGATGCAGCGTATCAATCACTTAGACGACCCGCAGCTTAGGTGCAGCATAGCGCCTATTTAGCGGGCCAGACTTGAGTATCTGAGCTCGTAGTGAAGCAACCAAAGTTCGGACCCAGCAAAGCAAATCAGAAGTGAAGCTGTCACGCGTTATCTCTAACCCCTCCCTCAATGTCCTGTCACTGTCTCGTGCGCGTGTCGCGCGGTGGCCGCGGTTCAGCACCACGACTCTCGTGGCTCTGCGTCGAGTGTCGCCGCTGTTTTAGCACCACGACTCTCCTGGCTCCGTGTCGAGTGTCGCCGCTGTTTTAGCACCACGACTCTCCTGGCTCCGTGTCGAGTGTCGCCGCTGTTTTAGCACCACGACTCTCCTGGCTCCGTGTCGAGTGTCGCCGCCGACGGCTCTCCATCCTCGCTGTCCGAACTCGCACGTCCGAACCTCTCACTCACGCCGTAGATGTCGGCCAGACGCCGGAAGTGCGGCCCCATCTCCAGCAGGTAGTCAAACTCCATGTCGGCGTCGGTAGTGCCTGTTACACACAGATGACGGGTTAGGTGACACCCGCGCTCCCCTAGCGAGGCAAAACACTGGCCCTGGTGCTTTTGTACAGCTCTGCACATGATAAGACACGCTTGAGATACATTTATTTTGTAATAAGCCACCTGATGGTAGAGGAATCCACCAACGACAAGAGCAAGCCGAACAAGCACAGAATAGCACTTTGAAATACTCGGTAAAGAAAAATACCTATCAATGGTTACGTGCAGCTCAGCGCTGTTGCGATTCTGGGCTGTGCAGTCAGTCAGCATAACAAAAATAGTGCCTGCAGTGCGGGGAACAGCAGCCTCTGCACAAACGTTAGCTCCTCCAAACCGAACGCAACCCGACACGGCAACTTAGAGCGATGTGCAATCTCCAGAAACAGGCGCTGCGCGCTCCCACCTGAATTGATGGTGGACAGGGAGCCGGCCGTACTGCTGGCGCCCTCATACGCGTAGTTCCGCAGGTCGTCCCGCGCAGCGTCCAGGTTGTCGTCGTCAATGGCCTCATTGCTGGCGCTAACGAAGGCGGCGGACGCAGCCAAAGGCGGAACCTCCTCAGCTGAAACGAAAACGTCGGATAAGTCGCAGGCCCTATACCTACCGGCCAATGTCTACAGCTCTCCTGTGTGTCTTCTATGTAGACACTCCCTTCTGTTGTCGGAGTTAACTTTTGAAAGCGACACAGTGGTCTATAAACAAAACATAGGTACAATACAATTCCCCGCTCTGTAAATGTGCAGAGTACTAGTATATACAATGCATATCAGTGAATGTTGGGTATACCCGAATAAATTACACCAAATGGACGTTTTCATCGAGTCAACGTCTCCGATTGGGATGGTGGTAGAGCGTATGTACGCGGTAAAGTAACAATACATCGATCCACGGCCCACGCCAAGCGGAGAACAGGTTTGGTATACGCTGCAACCGGGAGGTGGCGTAGAAGCACCGGTATTTCAACTAATGCTCGTCCCCACACATAGATGTCGCTAGTAGTGAGCGCCTGGACTCATGCTGTGCCGCAGTACATGTCTCGGCTACGAACGCGCGCACTGCTGCAGCACGGGACAGCGCCCCTCGCATAATGCAGGGAAGGATGGCCTTCCAAATGCAACTTCAGGGACCACCCAACGATTTATCTCACTTGCTTCACAATGGCGATGTGTATAGATTTTAACCTAACTATGTAACAAAGGCATTGGCAATGCTTCTGATGATGTAGGTATAGACGTCGTACCTACTGTTAACGCCAGACGCCTTGAGACCCTAATTTTTCGCGATTATTTTAAAATGCGTGGAATAATTTCAACCATATTTAGGAAATAGCTGTTTCAAGACCTGCCGAAACTTTTTCTTCAAATACATTTTGCTGTCACGTAAATATTTGTGGCACTTGTCATTGACTCGTAATGTTAACTGTTTTTCCATCCTGGATAGAGGCTTTCATACGTCATATGACATTAGGCTCCGCCCACGACTGCGGCATTGACCCGTGCCCATCAGTGACCTCTGTACAAACCAGGGTATATAGAACAACGGGTACACCAACGACGCGGAAAGCGCCCATTTTACCTGGATGAGTTACATGGTAGTTGATATATTTTTTGATTATGGAAAAAATAGAGCATTCCATTCTGAAGAGTAAAGCCAAATTCATAAAGCAGTTATTTTTAAATTATATGTACCAGAAATAACATACTAACCGTAGTTTAAAACTTAGTCTAAAGTTAGTTGAAAAGTGTATAGTTGGTACTAAAATGGAAGGAATCAATGGAAGGCGGAAATGGCGCAGCTGTTTCATTCTTTAAATGTGTTCGCAAGCAGGATTTACGTGATGCTAGCGACACCTATGAGTGTAATCAGTGATGCTGATTGGCTGATCGAGTCCGTGAGCAGTATCAGCGATTTACGCCTGCACAGGGTTGAGGCAATATGCGCATGCGCAGGAACTTGTGCTCTCATGGAGGGGCTTTTGGTACCTCGGGCAGCGCCCAATGCTTTTTGGACCTGTTATGGCCTCCGCATCGAAAAACGCTAGATAAAAAGGTTGTAGAGGAAGCTCGAGGCTACCTTTCCCCACAATAATATTGGCACTTTATCTTTTAGCTTACGCGTTAGGCTCGCTTGAAAAAGGTCGATTTAACATGGAAACCCTATGGGGTAGTAGTTTTTGAGCGCCCATTTGGCCTAATGCTACCAACTGACAACTGTTACTGGCTACCCCTGGTACAAACGACACCCCTGCCATCTGTAAAGGACTATGAATTTCGCTGACGTTTCACGTGCTATGAATCAATTGCAGCAGACCGTCAAGTAAATGTTGGGCTTTTGTTGACTCTTGTAGGTATATGGGACCAAGAGGACCATCACTCCTCAATCTGCTACTCACACATGCCGGATAAAACGTTAACGATTCCTAACAAATACGATTTTCGATTAGGATATCTGTTTGTTGAAATACGAGCGAGCCTTATGATGTGAAGCGAAGGCAATTAGCTAATTATTGCGCTGGTCGATGGGCGCCCGTACAAATCGGGAGCTACTTGATGACATCCGACATCCCATTATCGCATTATCTGCAACGCCATAGGCTTTAAATACAGGTGAATATTTCCTAACCTTATGTCAGCCATATGCCATCTGCCCGTCATTTGCAGCTTATAAAAAAAAAATATCAGCGAACATATCAGTATTGTACAAGCAACGCGCATTGAGCATTTATGGCTCCTCAGTCATCATGTCGCTCTTTGGGCACTGTCAGACAAGAGGTTACGCACAACTCCGCCGGCTTTCGGCACCGCTCGACCTTCCCCGCTCCCCGCCACAGCGCGAGTGACCGCGCGCCGGCCCGAAACCGCCGCAGGCCAAGACCACAGAGGCAGGGCTTAGCTGTGACGTCATAACGTATCACAGACTGACTGGTGATAGCCTCTACACGCCGGGTGAAAATCTTGCTCAAAATTTAACATTACGAGTCAATGAGAAGTGCCTGAAATATTGAAATGGCGACAAAATATCTAAATTGTAAAAGTTTCGGCAGGTCTTGAAACGGCCATGTCCTGAACTTGGTTGAAATTCTTCCATGCATTTAAAAATAATCGCGAAAAATTAGGGTCTCAAGAGGTCTGGCGTTAACCCGCGACCGCCTGGGGGGGGGTCGGATCCGACCCCCCCTCCGTTTTTCTTGAATAACTCATGAACCGCTTGCGCTATCAACTTGAAACTTCGCATACCTTCTCCCCCATCAATTTGACGTCTCCTGTGCAATTTTTAAGAAAAAATCAAAAATTTCTGAGATATATCGATTTTAGTGATGTAACTACATGGCGTTTTCAGTCAAAAAATGGTAAATGTTTAAAAAATCGCCAAAAATCGAGGTTTTAAGCAAATTGCAAATTAAGGAAATGAAAAGACGCAACACAACGAGTTCTTTAAAATGGCTATCTCGGATTTTCCATAAAATGCGTTTTTCACCCCTAAAAATTCAAAAAACTATATTTTTTTGGAAAACAGCTAATAAAATCCAAAATTTTGAGAATTTCCAAAAAACCGGAATATATGTTATAGAGCTCTATTAGAACATTAGCTGTCCCAAATTTCAACTTTCTATCTTGATTTTTGACCCCCAAATTGTAAAAAATAGCTCCAACATGCATAGGGCATGGTGACGTCATAAGCATTTTCGCGAATTAGAGGCACTTCTGAACATCGCATGTAAAAACATATGGCACCACTAGATTCCTGGGACAAAGCTCGTCTAGAAAAGTGCATTTTTATGTCAAAAATAAAAAGTTGAAAAATTGACTTTTTTCTCAGCCCTCGTTTAGTTATGTATGGTATAAACGATTTTTTAGGCTTTCAATGCACACTTATCACCAGCACAGTGACTTGGGGTCACATATAACCATTACCATCGGATTTGGCGTGAAAAATAAGCCATAAAACATGTGTCGCACGCCCATTGTAGCAGAAAGTGAAAACCGTGACCTTTCGTGACCTGACCTGACCTTGACCCGTACTTAGTATGACCCCTATACGCACATGGTACCTTCACTAGGTCTTTGAGGTCATTTGTGGTGAGTTTCGAGCAGCAGCTATCGATTCCGCTGTCCGTAAGCCTAATCATGCAAAACCCCTGAATTTGACCTTTGACCTGACCTTGACCCGAAAGTTGACCTCAATCTTAAAATCTTAAGAGTGCTTTGGGAAGGTCTCGTAGAGACCTTTCGAACGCCGCCTCGCGGGGCTCGATACGACCATTGGTTCTCGAGATAACAGGGGGGGAGTCGGATCCGACCCCCCCCCCCCCCCAGGCTGATGTGGGTACGGAAATAGCCCAGGCGGTGCCGGGTTAACAGTAAATCATTGGTGGTACCTAGAGGTAGTGGGCAAGCGGTTACAATGGGCTCTCGATATTAAACTGGTGCCTGATTCAGCCTGATTTAAGCAACTCCTTGAACCAAAAGCTGACGAGGCTGAAACGCGATTAGGAATGGAGCCTACCTCGTGGAGGAACGGTGAGCGGCGCCCCGGTCTATCCGTACGACCGTGTACCCACCTCTGAACCTGTCCTCGACTCGAAGCGTGCTGGGTTCGGTGGAGTCGATGCCGTCATGACCGATCGTGTCCATACCCAGCTGGTCCTTGAGCGATTTGTACTTCTTCACGTTCCGTTGGCGAATGAATATGGCCACGGCGAGCAGCACTGGAAATCACAGCCATCATGTGACAGATCGAGACAGACAGACAAACTTCCTTAGTTGGCGACTGTATACCGAGACTGGACTTCTGACTGCGCATCCGACAGACATTGACTGAGGATATAGTCGTACTATACGGTGTTACGTCAATAACATTTTAACGATTGTTCTTGCCGGGTATCGTAAAAGGGACCAGTTACTTTAAATGACTGTATTCGAAATTCGTAAAACTATTAGCCAAGTGTCGATACAAATTCACCTCTTTTTCACATCATATAGGGCCTTGTTCACATCATCCATCATTCACCCAGACTGTTCTACATTTTCATAATTTTCCATCATTGTCGGATTTCATGTGAAATGCGCACGGATCCTCCTCATAGGGATAATTAATTGGCACTTTCAGAAATAACACCCTCCCCCCGCCAACGGAGCGGACCACGCGCACACGAGCTCATGACCCGAGCGCCTCCTCCAGCAGGCAGAGCCGCCGGGCAGGGCGGTGCACTTCTCCGCCACGGACCAGTACGCGCGCCGACCGGACGCGGCCATCAGGCCCAGGAACTGTCTCGGTCACGCGTCCCAGAGGCCACTGGCCGCGCGGGCTGCCGTTCTCCACGATGAGGACGAGATCCCCCACTGCCAGGCTGCGACCTTCCGATCTCCACTTCGGTCGGCATGCCAGTCCTGGTAGATACTCTCGAAGCCATCTCCGCCAGAACTGGTCTGTTAGCGCCTGGCTCTGCCGCCAAACTCGTGTAGAGCAGCTCTCTTCGTCTCGGAACAATCCTGGAGGCAGACGCCTGACCGGACGCCCCAACAGCAGATGATTGGGCGTCAGTGCCTCCAAACTGTTCGGGTCTGTCGACACGTGCGTGAGTGGGCGGCTGTTGACGACTGCTTCCACTTCAGTCAAAACAGTGTGCAGTACTTCCTCGGAAACAAGCAGCCGCCCGAGGACAGCTCTCAGCGCGCGTTTGACAGTCCCCACCATCCGTTCCCAGGCGCCGCCCATATCACAGGCAGCCGGTGGGTTAAAATGCCACCGGATGTCGCGTTGAGTAAGCTCATCGCTGATAGTGTGCTGGTTCCATTGTCGCAGCAGCTGGCGTAGCTCTTTCTCTCCAGCCCGCAGACACGATCCGTTGTCACAGAAGACGTCTGATGGCGGTCCACGTCGTGCGATATACCTGCGGAAGGCCATCAGGAAGCTGTCGGTACTCAGGGAGGATGTCAGCTCCAGATGGACCCCGCGCGTGGAGAGGCACGTGACCAGCATACACCACTTCTTCTCGATTCGTCCTCCATGCACCTTGATCTTTAGAGGACCGAAGAAGTCGAGCCCAATTGAACTGAAGGCGTACTTCGTGTCGAAACGTGCGGTCGGCAAGTCGGCCATGCGGGGCTGACACGGCTTAGCTCGGCGTCGTCGGCAAAGAGGGCAGTCAGCCACTACCTTCTTGACTTCTTGCCGGGCGCGCGGCACCCAGTAGGCTTGACGGAGCTCATTTAGGACATGTTCGGTTCCCGCGTGCATCAGTCGTCGATGAACTGCGTCGATGATGAGCCTTGAAATGCAGCTACTTCTCGGGAGGATCACAGGGTGGCGGGTCTCTTCTGGCACAGGAGCATTGGATAGCCGCCCGCCGACTCGTAGCAGCCCCTCTGAGTCTAGCATTGGAGTCAGCTGCAGAAGACTGCTTGACGAAGGGAGCTCCTTATCTTCGTTTAGTGCCTCAATCTCTTGAGCAAATGCCTGCCGTTGGGCACATCGCACCGCCATGTTTTCTGCTTCATGTAGCTCCTCGGCAGATAGTGGCTCCCGCTCGAGGGCGTTTGGCTGTGCGACCTGAGACTTCAGCACTCTCAACATGTTCCTCGTGAATCGCAGAATCCAGGCGACAGTTCTTTGGTAGCGGACCCATTTAGAGAACCGTTGTGGGTCAGGCAGGGTAAGGGTGGCCAGCCGGGTGCTGTGTTGTGTGACCATCACGGTCTTAAGCTCTGGATCCTCATCTTTCAGTGACAGCTGCTGGTCTGGTGGCCAGGCATCTTCTGACTGCCACAAGAAGTCGGGTCCCCTTATCCATCGGCTGTCTCTCTTTAGGTCGGAGGCTTTCGATCCCCGCGAGCAGTCGTCTGCTGGGTTGAGCTCGGTCGGCACATGACGCCACTGTCTGGGCTCAGACACGTCACGGATCTCGGTCACACGATTAGCAACGAACGTGTGGAAGCGCCTGCTGTTGTTCTCGATGTAGCTGAGGACGACTTTGCTGTCGCTCCAAAAGACCGTGTCACTTTGATTCAAGTTCAGCTCCTGAGCTACTTGGGCCGCCAAGCGCACAGCCAGCACCGCCGCCTGCATCTCTAGACGGACGATCGTCAACCTTTTTAGCGGCGCCACCCTACATCGGCTCATAATCAAGGAGCAGTGGATAGCACCGTCTGCATATTCGTGCCTGAGGTAAGCGACTGCCCCAAAGGCTCGCTCAGAGGCGTCACAAAAGACGTGTAGCGTCTTCGTGACTGTTTTCTTGGTGTGATGCTGATACGCGTAGCATCTTGGGACTCGAATCTTCTCTATTGACTGCAACTCTGAGATCCAAGCTGCCACTTCGCTGCACTCCTCGTCAGAGAGAGGGCTGTCCCAGGTGTGTTCAGTCGACCAGAGTGTCTGCAGTATCATCTTCCCCATGACCAGAAATGGGCTCGCCAGCCCCAGCGGGTCAAAAATACCAGCGATCACCCGTAAAATCTCGCGCTTTGTAGTTGGCGTTGTCGGCCCGACATTCGTGACTGTCGGAGCACTGGGACTCAGCTCATCTAGCTCTGCATCCCACTGCACACCCAGGACCTTCTGTGTCGGTAGTGACGCGTTTAGATCTACGGCACCAGCCGCTCTGTCTTCCATCGAGATCCTCGCAAGCACCTCCCTGGAGTTGCTGTTCCATTTGCAGAGTCTAAAGCCTCCCCTGGAGAGCAGCGCCGTCACCTCTGCCGCCGTCTCTTGTGCTGTATCGTTGTCTGGTTCAGAGGTGGCCAAATCGTCCATATAGAAGTCTCTTTCGACAATTTCACGTGCTCTGCGTCCAGCTACAGTGTCATCACTCTTCTCCTGGGCTGTTCGGCGTAGTACATAGCTGGCTGATGCTGGAGAGCTCCGAGCGCCGAATATTACCCTGTCCATTTGGTATATATCTGGCGGACGGGTGCTATCCAGATCACGCCAGAGATAGCGGAGTGAGGCCTGGTCCTCAGCTCTCACAGCCACCTGCATGAACATCTTCTCTATGTCGGCGCAGAGACCAACAGACCCTAGACGGAAACGTAGCAGCACCCCTGGGAGTGATCTTAGGAGGTCCGGTCCAGACAGCAGATGCCCGTTAAGGGAGCTACCTCCATAGCTGCTCGCTGCGTCGAAGACCACGCGGAATTTGCCTGGCTTGCTGGTGACTGCGTGATGAGGCAAATACCAGGTGCGGTCTTGTTGTACCAGCAGTTCCTCATCATCAAGCTTCCGCGCATATCCTTTCTTCACATTTTCCTCCATACTCTGTTGGTACGCTGTCGCCTTCTCAGGAGCTCGGCGCAGAGCCCTCTCTGTGTTTTCCAGCCGGCGCATGGCCATGGGGTAGTTGTCAGGCAGCTTGACATTTTCATCACACCACAGCAGCCCTGTCTCGTAGCGATCGCCGCGCCACGTGGTAGTCCTTGCCATGATGTCTTCAGCTCGCCGGTCTTCCTGAGATGTCGGCTCTTTCATGTTGTACGCAGTACCAAATGCCTCCGTTGACCACCAGTCCTTCAGCATAGTCACCAGTTCGTCATCAGCTGAGCGGTGCTTGGAAATGTGCATCACCTCTCGCTGGCCATGAGTCACCAGCTGAGCCACATTTCCGGTCAGACACCAGCCGAAGTGGGTTCGTACTGCCACTGGTTGTCCTGGCTTGCCGACTCTGACCTCCTGCTGCAGCATGGCCTCCAGAACATTGGCCCCCAGCAGCAGTTCAACGGCCTTTCCATTGTTGTCTGGAATCGCTATGTCATCCAGATGCTTCCAGGCCTTCCTTTGCTTCCAGTCCACGCTTTGAGGACGCACATTCAGTCGGACGACGGAGAACACCTCTGGTACTGTGACCGTCTTGGCGTTACTTCCTGGAGACAAGGAGGACACTTGTAGACTCGTTCTGATCGCGAGTCTGTTGTCTCCGCTTCCTTCAACATTGGCCAGTTGTAGCTCCCTCCTGTCTCCGTCAATCCCCAGTTCCTTTAGCACGTGCTCCTCGCACAGACTCGTATCGGCACCGGAGTCCAACAGTGCGAGGGTATCCTTGTAGCGTCCTTCAGTTCCATGAATCCGGATTGGAACAATTTGTAGCAAGGTGCGCTGACTTGTATGCGTCTCCGTCTGCGTCATTGCCATTACGTCACGGGCGTCTGTCGTCGCCGTCGGTCTTGTTTGTGCGGGATGAGGAGATTGCGCCGACGGTATGTGGAGAAGGCGATGGTGTCTCCCCTTGCAGCCCCGCTCTCCACAGACTGTTCTGCTCGAACATTTGCTCAGCCAGTGGCCAGTACTGAGACATCGGAAACAGCGGCGGCCACTGCGCACGATGTGACCGCGCTCCTCCGGTGTTTTCTCCAGAAAAGATGGGCATTCGGCGAGTGCGTGGGCGCCACTTTGGCACACAGCACATTCAGCACTGACAGCCGCTCCTGATGCAGTCGCTAAAGTTGTGCGCTGAGCTGAACTTGTGTTCCCTCTTGTGTCGCCCCGGCGCCTGTTAAGCGGTGCCGGTGTATGCGCTGGTCTGGCGACACTGTCCTGTACCTTTGAGCAGAGCGCAGGCTGAACGCGGCGACCCGCCAGCACTACTTTCCCAAGCCAAGAATCAATATCCTCCAGAGTGGGTACGTGTGGCATCATTTCTACTTCTAGCTGGCCCCACTGCCAGGCCAGCGCGCTTGGTAGCTTGGATATCACCTGCTGCATTGAAGAGGTCGCGGCCAAATCCGCTCGGTAGCCCATGCTCTTTAGCACGCACACGGCCGTGTGCACGGCTCGTGACAGACTTGTCAGGCCAGCGATATCGTTGTGCTTGACTACCGGGTGCTGAAGAATGCTGCTGAGTGTGCTCTGGACGACAGCAGTCGGGTTTCCAAATTGAGTCTCCAGCTCGCTCAGCGCTACTTCATAGAGCGACATGTCACAGAGCAGACCACGCACGGCTTCACGAGCGTCTCCCGTCAGGAACGACTGGAGGTGAATCATGCGCTCTGTGTCAGTCAGTGACGCATTATCATGAACCAGGGCTCGAAAGAGCGAGATCCACCGGGGCCACTCTAACGGAGACCCATCAAACATCCCAAGCTGTATCTTGGGCAGCGATGCATGAACAGGAGCGAAGTTTGTGTTGGCTTCAACCCATCGTCTTGTGCGATGGCTTCGATCGGGCGATCTGTTTGCCGGGTTGCTCTCTTGATCGGGTGGACGAGTCTGGTTACTCCCTCCCGCATTTCCAGACTCCGCTCCGGCAATACTTTGACACGCTGCAGCTGGCGTGTCACCGAGCAGTTGACACTGGACCCGCTGATCAGACTGCTCGTTATGAGCGCGAGCCATCGGGGTCGGCGGCACAGGGCTCACCCTGTCAACAGCGCGGTCCATGGACGGCGGCTGGTGGTGCATGGACACTGGTCGCATTCCATCTTCATCTGCAGTGCCGACCGAATTCCGCAAACCTACCTCTTCTTCCATTATTTGAAGCTCCAGCGCGTCTACCTCCGCTTGGTCAGCTGCCTGTCGTGCTTCAGCTAAAGCCTCATCTCTTGCTAGCCTCGCACGAACCTCAGCTGCCTTAATCTTCTCGTCTGCCACTCGCTTCGCCTGTTCGGCTTTGAGCTGTGATACGAGCGCTCGCCTCCTTACCGAACTGCGAGTGGTGGATGTAGAGCTCATTTCAGTCTCACTTCGGGTTTTGAGACTTGCAGATGCAGACCTATCACCGCAAGCCGATCGTACACTCATAGTTACGTTACCTTTCGAATCGCAGTCAATCAATTCCTTAACTGGTTACAGTTATTTTACGGTACTCTATCCGGCCCGGAGGACCATAATGTTACGTCAATAACATTTTAACGATTGTTCTTGCCGGGTATCGTAAAAGGGACCAGTTACTTTAAATGACTGTATTCGAAATTCGTAAAACTATTAGCCAAGTGTCGATACAAATTCACCTCTTTTTCACATCATATAGGGCCTTGTTCACATCATCCATCATTCACCCAGACTGTTCTACATTTTCATAATTTTCCATCATTGTCGGATTTCATGTGAAATGCGCACGGATCCTCCTCATAGGGATAATTAATTGGCACTTTCAGAAATAACATACGGTGCGCTAATCGGTGACCGGTATTCACACATGGTGAAGGAGAGGGGAGTGCGCCGCTGCTGACTACAAAGCTCTTCAATTACAGGTCTGGGCGATTTCGTGGTTTTAAGAGAAACTCATTTTATAACGACTCCCTTTTTCCATTCGTCCTGTCGCACGCGTCAGGCATCAACCCTATGTTAGTATGGCAAAATCATGGATGTAAGGTCTAGCTCGATTACGTGCTTTACTGAACTAAGCAAGCAGACAAACACTGCATTGGAAGTGGCTGAAAAAGATTTGTACTTACAGACTGCCAGGAAAAGACAGGTTAAGATTGCGGCCAAGAAACTCGAATCGGCATATATCACTGGTATTGGCACGATGAGTTCTTCGCAAGTGCTGGTGTATTCCTCGCCCCATGTTGGATTGCTTAGATCGTACGCCTGTAAAAACGCAGATCCACGCTCAGTTTTTCATCCAAGCTGCTTCGAAAAGGACGAAGCATAAAGACTTACAGATTGCAACATACTGATCTCTGACACGCACTTTTTATCGCCTTAATTTAGTTTTAACTTAGCTCGAATGACCATTATTTATTGTCTCAATATGAATCGGAGCGCACAGCAGACGCGACAACAGCAGGCAGGAGCAGAGCGGCTCATTCGCGCGGGGTGCCGCGCGCTGCGTCCGGCTTAGACTCACCGTGCCGAGGAAGGTGACGTTCTCCAGGCAGCCGTAGAACCCTTCCGACTCGGGCACCAGGAGCCAGGCCATGGCCTGTCGGACGACGCTCAGTGGCACGGCCGAGCCGCCCAGCTGCAGTGGGGTGTCCACGTTCAGCAGACGGGCCAGCGCGCCCGGCGCCGGCGGCGCCTCGGCGCTGCTCTGACACTCTGGCCGTCCCAGACAGCTGTCCAGCAGCACCGTCACCTCCTAGAAATGCAGCAATGGGATACTCTGGTCATCACAGTGATAGCTGGATGACCTATTCAGCACAGCGCTGAAGTGTAAATGAAATACTGACTTATCATATTGCCGAGGGAAAGGTCACCTGTAGGCTGTAATAACATTTGAGTGTAGCTGCCTACACTTGTATTTACTTGTCGGCCCGGATGCTGGTTGACCAGGCTTCAAAACGTGTCTGTGCCTGACCTGTGCACTCCATATGACGTCGACGTGGTGGCGCCGTCCGTCGTCCACCGGCGTCTGCGGGCTGGCCACGAACGTCCCGGAGCCGTAGTTGAGGAACGCCCGCAGCCGGCCCTTGAACACGTCTACCGCAAAGAAGTCTGGGAGAAAAAACGGGCTGTTGGAATAGCAGAGCTGGAACGATCACGTGCTGTAATATCCCTAACTCTGATGCTGTCTATCTTGAAATTGTCCAATGCTTGCATGACGAATCTTTCCACCAAAAATGATTGCCAGGATGTGTAGGGGAGAGTGGGGCAAAGCGGCCACCCGGGGCAAAGCGGCCACCCATCGTTTTAGCCCTTCATAGCTGGCGTCAGTTCCAATTTATGGTTTCCAATTATACTTCTCTTCACGGTCGTTCGAATGAGCCAGACCGGGGTTTCAGGCCCATCACCATTGTTCTGTGAAACACGGAAAAGCATTTCTTGCCAGGTTACCAACTATGTTTACAATTTTTAAATGTTATGTTATTCCATAAGCGTTTTGGAATTTTTATAAGCGTTCTTGTCCATGCATCGCATGGTTATCGTACATGTATTCTACCAATTTTAATGTTTTTTACCCCACTAATAGCTAAGCTGGAATATTTTTGTCTCGGACGGTATGCGCGGGGCAAAGTGGCCGGGGCAAAGTGGCCACCCCCCAATTGGCCATAAGTTGCTTCCATCTGGATAAAAAACATTATTTATATTGAAATGTGTCGTCATGCATTCAACTTGGCCACTTTTCAGTTGCATGAGTTACCAAATAATGCAATTAAATGTTTATTTTCATGAAAATCCTTTCTTTGTTTACCTACAGGAGGAAGATGATAAAGTAAACATCCATCCTCGATTAACCTTGTCACCATCAAATACACTAGTCGTACACGAGGCAACTATTTTGTTTCTCATATCGGGACTTGAGAAGACGCCGGTGGCCGCTTTGCCCCAGGGTATGGGGCAAAGTGGCCAATATGCATAGGTTTAAAGTTTTGTCAATATCTTTCATATGTGAACGCCTTTGGAAATGAAACGCAGTTGAAATAAAAGGCAACTTACTAGGGATCACATTGGTATAGAAAGAATCTTTCCAAGTTTAAAAATCAAGCGTTGGCATCGTGAGAAGCGTTAGGGTGGCCGCTTTGCCCCACTCTCCCCTACCTGTCAATTTTAACTCAAGGTAGCCTAGTATCTACTCCGGATAGGAGATGCTGCATGTTGATACGTGAGTAGCAGTGGACGGACGGCCGCCTGCCTAGTACACTCCCCATCCAACACCTAGGCGGCATCGAGGCCCGGGCTCACCCCGTACGTCCGGCACGGCGCTCACCTTGTATACTCGGCGCTCACCCTGTATACCCGGCGCTCACCCTGTATACCCGGCGCTCACCCTGTATGCCGCCGGTCGGTGGGCCCAGCGGCCCGTTATACATGACCAGGCCCTGGTCCGAGTTGGTGGTTAGGTCGAAGCTCAGTTGAGAGTCGGTGCACGTGCCCAGCCGCGGGAACCAGGCGTACCCCTCGCCTTTGAAGTGGATGGTGAGTCCCTCACAGTTGGGGCCGCCGAAGCCGTCTGGACATTGGCACCTGAGGGACAGCGGCCCGGCCGGTCACGTGGATACCATCAGAGGTGGGGGGGGGGGGGGGGGGGCACATAGGAAACATCAACTCATCACCTCAGCTGATGGTCCGCATAGACAAACGGTGCGGAGAGAGAGAGAGAGAGAGAGAGAGAGAGAGAGAGAGAGAGAGAGAGAGAGAGAGAGAGAGAGAGAGAGAGAGAGAGAGAGAGAGAGAGAGAGAGAGAGAGAGAGCGAGAGAGCGAGAGCGAGAGAGCGAGAGCGAGAGAGCGAGAGCGAGAGCGAGAGCGAGAGCGAGAGCGAGAGCGAGAGCGAGAGCGAGAGAGAGAGAGAGAGAGAGAGAGAGAGAGAGAGAGAGAGAGAGAGAGAGAGAGCGAGAGAGCGAGAGCGAGAGCGAGAGCGAGAGCGAGAGCGAGAGCGAGAGAGAGAGAGAGAGAGAGAGAGAGAGAGAGAGAGAGAGAGAGAGAGAGAGAGAGAGAGCGAGAGCGAGAGCGAGAGCGAGAGCGAGAGCGAGAGCGAGAGCGAGAGAGAGAGACAGAGAGAGAGAGAGAGAGAGAGAGAGAGAGAGAGAGAGGAGAGGAGAGAGAGAGGAGAGGAGAGGAGATGCCTACCTGGGCACGGGGTCGGTGACCAGGTGTCCGCCGTTCATGCAGGGGTCGGCCGGAGGCGGCGACTGACATTTGCCGCAATCGTAAGTCATCATCGTCTTCACACCTGGAACGGAGCGCACGCGTTACGTGGCTCACAGTGGTCAGTGAGTGACATATGCCAATAGTGCAGGTCGTGTGATTGACACGAGCAGGTCACTTCAATCAAAGGACACTCATGAATTTGATAAAAGGGTTTTGTGCCGAAATGGTTATACGCAGAGCCCCAGACACCCTATGAATAGTATCTAATCTTGTATAAGTGTTATGGAAATTTTATATCTCGATGAGAAACTTATGCGCATCCTATAAAACACTGAATATAATTTCACAGTTCGTCTTGTTTGTGACGAGGCTGCAACTTAGGGATTGTCAATGGCTTACCTATGATGGATGTCAGATTTGTCTGGATTTTATAGACTTCATTGTCGAAAATCTTTAGGCTTGACAGACAGCTGTTACCATCGCAAGTCGTCTCATTGACGCATTCGTCGATGTTCACCTGCTGTATCTCAATCTTGAGTGACTCCTCAAACTGAAAAGTAAGCCAACGTGTGAATATCGATATCTTCAAGCAAATGACATTTGCATCGTGACTAGACCAGTGTCACTCTCTGTCCGTCAGTGCGACTCTGTCCACCGTCCCGTCCGTCAAGGCCACTCTCTGTCCACCGTCCCGTCCGTCAGGGCCACTCTCTGTCCACCGTCCCGTCCGTCAGTGCCACTCTCTGTCCACCGTCCCGTCCGTCAGTGCCACTCCCTGTCCACCGTCCCGTCCGTCAGTGCCACTCCCTGTCCACCGTCCCGTCCGTCAGTGCCACTCTCTGTTCACCGTCCCGTCCGTCAGTGCCACTCTCTGCTCACCGTTCCGTACGTCAGTAGCACTCTCTGTCCACCGTCCCGTCCGTCAGTGCCACTCTCTGTCCACCGTCCCGTCCGTCAGTGCCACTCTCTGCCCACCGTCCCGTCCGTCTGACCTGTCGGACGTTCTCGCTGACCAGTCCGTCCATCTTCTGGCTGGCGTAGTAGGGCGAGCCGTGCGCCGCGTAGCGCACGTCCACGCCGCCCGCGCCGTTGTCCTGCACGCCGAACAGGTCGACATTCTCCTCGGGAATGGCGAACGTGCGCGCCAGCTCGGAGACCAGCGCCGTGTACCGCGACGGCGTCTGCGGCGGAGGACAGGGAGGGGCTGTCACCGGAGAACGCTGGGCGGCTGTCACCGGGGAACGCGGAGGGACTGTCACCGGAGAACGCGGAGGGACTGTCACCGGAGAACGCGGAGGGACTGTCACCGGAGAACGCGGAGGGACTGTCAACGGAGAGTGCGGAGGGACTGTCACCGGAGAACGCGGAGGGACTGTCACCGGAGAACGCGGAGGGACTGTCACCGGAGAACGCGGAGGGACTGTCACCGGAGAACGCGGAGGGACTGTCACCGGAGAGTGCGGAGGGACTGTCACCGGAGAGTGCGGAGGGACTGTCACCGGAGAGTGCGGAGGGACTGTCACCGGAGAACGCGGAGGGACTGTCACCGGAGAACGCGGAGGGACTGTCACCGGAGAACGCGGAGGGGCTGTCACCGGAGAACGCGGAGGGACTGTCACCGGAGAACGCGGAGGGACTGTCACCGGAGAACGCGGAGGGGCTGTCACCGGAGACCGCGGAGGGACTGTCACCGGATAACGCGGAGGGACTGTCACCGGAGAACGCGGAGGGACTGTCACCGTCTCTGGGGTGGGGGAGGGGCGTGGAGAAATGCTTCAAACGCGTGATATGGTGTCTGCAGTTGCTATGCTATTTGGGGGGGGGGAGGGGTAGGTATATCCGCGTTTTCGAAATACTCCGGGTCTCATTTTTTTGTGACACATCCCAACCCGTTTTAAAGTTTTCTGGATGCCCTTGGCTCATGGCTGTCACGTTTTTAGTTTATCCCCGGGTCTAACATATTTGGATGGACCCTGGGTCTAGCGTTTTCGGAATACGCCCCATGTTAATGTTTTCGGAATTTCACTGCTTCTCACGTTTTGGCTCTGGGCGGTGACGAACTGTTCAGCGGAGAGGTGGGCGATGCGGATGGAGCCCGACTGGACGACGGCCTCGCGGGGCAGCAGGCGCACCACCACCGTCACATCCGCGTCCACCGTCGACTTCCAGTGGTCGTCGTACACCTGGCCCACACATGTAAACGTCACGGTGCTGATTGGTCTGCGCCGCAGGACTGCCGACAGCATATCTCATGAAAAAAAGAGTCAGTCAGTGTACTGTATAACGTGTGGCTTATCCCTCATAATTGCACGTTAGATCGCCCGCTAGCGACACCAGGTGCTAGGCTGCGCACACAGCTGAAGCGATTACCGAGAATTTCAGCAGGTAGGTGCCGTTGCTGGTGCCGTGGCGCATGATGATGTCGCCGGTGTTGGAGTCGAGGCCGAACCGGCGCTGGTCTCCGTCCACGAAGGTGAAGGTCTTGTCGGGCAGGTCCCAGTCGTCCGGATCGTCGACATACACCCGGCCAATGACGGTGTCCGGCATCTTACCCTGCGGCAGGGAGGGACAGCGGCGTGTTACACTGGGGAGGGAGGGACAGCGGCATCTTACCCTGCGGCAGGGAGGGACAGCGGCGTGTTACACTGGGGAGGGAGGGACAGCGGCATCTTACCCTGCGGGAGGGAGGGACAGCGGCATCTTACCCTGCGGGAGGGAGGGACAGCGGCGTGTTACACTGGGGAGGGAGGGACAGCGGCATCTTACCCTGCGGGAGGGAGGGACAGCGGCGTGTTACACTGGGGAGGGAGGGACAGCGGCATCTTACCCTGCGGGAGGGAGGGACAGCGGCATCTTACCCTGCGGCAGGGAGGGACAGCGGCGTGTTACACTGGGGAGGGAGGGACAGCGGCATCTTACCCTGCGGGAGGGAGGGACAGCGGCGTGTTACACTGGGGAGGGAGGGACAGCGGCATCTTACCCTGCGGGAGGGAGGGACAGCGGCGTGTTACACTGCGGGAGGGAGGGACAGCGGCGTCTTACACTGGGGGAAGGAGAAACGGCGGCGTGTTACACTGGGGAGGGAGGGACAGCGGCGTCTTACACTGGGGAGGGAGAAACAGCGGCGTGTTACACTGGGGAGGGAGGGACAGCGGCGTGTACACTGGGGAGGGAGAAACAGCGGCGTGTTACACTGGGGAGGGAGGGACAGCGGCGTGTTACACTGGGGAGGGGGAACAACGGCGTCTTACACTGGGGGAAGGAGAAACGGCGGCATCTTACCAACGGGGGGGGGGGGGGGGCAACGACTTCTAACCCTGGGTCAGGGAGAAGAGCGGCGTCTTTCTCTGAGGGAGGTAGGCTTAACGGCGTCTTACCCTGGGAAAGGGATGGGAGACGGCGTCTTACCCTGGAAGAGGGACGAAGACACTCTTGATGTGCGTGTAATGGGGAAGGGGCCTGAGGGATTGCCTAAGGACACATAACGGCATTTAGCCCTGGGGCTGAGATAAACGATGGCATCCTACCCCGGGGGAGGGAGGGACGCCGGTGTTGTGTTGTACCCTGGGGAGCTATTCGCTGTTGGACGCCCAGCAACCGTTCCCAGATAGAGGCATCCTGGTTAGTGACCTGCAGTGCGAAGGCAGGGCTTACCTCGAGGTTGAAGACGCTGATGACGCTGGAGCCGGGCTTCATGTCGTTGTCGTTCTCGTCGCCGATGATGACAGTGAAGAGACTGGTGCCCGTCAGAGGGTTCGGGTAGGCACTGGGGCTGTCGCTGACCAAAATTGGAATTTTGTACTGCTTTGTAGCTTCACGATCAAACTCCATTTTAGGACGGATTAGAGCGGTTCCGTCATCTGCAGAGAGAGGACATGAGCGTTAACTCGCGCCCCGCTGGTGTCTCTAGCAGAGGGGAATTCCTCCCCTCCTCGATTTCAGTAACTGGTTGAAGCTTGCGGTGTGTCATTTGGTCAGAACTCTGCATCTCTAGGTCGGGCGGCGAGGTGTGCACAGTGCACACCTCCGGCTTATCGGGCGGCGCCCCCCCCCCCGCCCCGATTGGTCGGCCGGGTGGCGTCCACCCGATAAGACCGGCGGCGCCGGCGTGGGCCGAGTGGTTATGGTGTGGTATCCACCACCGCCAGCACGGCCCCATCGGTCCCCGCCAGCTGCCGCTATCGCACCTGCTGGCGTCACTGCACGGTGGGCGAGCCCGGCCGGCCGGCGCCGTGGCAGCGACGCGGCGGGCCGGTCCAGCCCCCGCGCCTCAGCTGGCAGGAATGGAAACCCCCTTGCGTGCACCTACCGCCGGTGGTGACGCTGAACTTGCTCCTGATGTCGTCACTGGCGGCCGGATCCAGCTCGAACGAGAACGGAGCGCCGTTCATCTCTGTGTCGTCAAAGTCGTCCGCCTCCACCGAAATGCTGATACCGTCGATTTTCCTATTTTCCATTATGACGGGCGTGGAGTCTGCCGACTGTTGACAACCATAACAGATATTGCCTGTCATTGAATGGTTTTCAAAGAAGGTATTTAAGTTTGTGCAACGTAAAAGTGATACATAATCGAACCGGAAGGATCTCGTAATGAAACACTGAATTAACCTGTCGAGTAATCTGCCCCAAAGCCGGCAGAAAGACGAGGTAAGGCGAAACAGAGAGCCATACCCCCTTTATACCTCTGGCAAAGCCGCAGGTATGTCGAAATATCCCAGGCTAAAGTCCAATACCGTTGGATAATCCGAACACAAACGTTGGTTAATCGGAACACAAACGTACCCGGCTCCGGTCGCGCTCCGCTCACCTGAATTAGATAGGGTGCGTTATCGTTAATGTCGGACAGCATCAGCTTGAACTGGGCCGTGGAGAAGAGGCCGTTGCCGCCGTCGTCCCAGGCCTGGATGGAGATGTCCCAGACCTCGCGACCTCCGGTGCCCTTGTCTCTGTCCAGCGGCTGCCGCAGGGAGGGGACAATTGGCTGTTATTTACGTCTGAGACGATCAGTCGTGAAACAAATGGGATAGGTTATATCTGAACAACCAAGTGGATCCGTTTGCCAAAATCGACTCGCAGGTCGTCTCGCACGCCGACGCTTTGAGTGCGATTACGTTTAGGATCGCATACTAGATATAATGTGAGAAGTCGCAGGAATGAAACCAGAATGTTTTTACCTACCTTTATAACGATCACTTCTCCTTCGCTGTTAATGCTGAACACATTCCGTTCCGGATGATCTTCGTAGATTCCCGGTCCGGACAGTTTATAGATTATGGACGGTGTCCCGATTGGATCTGGGTCGGTCGCAGTCACCTGTCAAATGTACAGAAATCACTCAGCTCATCATACGTGCCCCATCGCAACGAGGTGAATTGAATATCTAGAAGATGTCAAGTTGTTTTGCTTTCATATATCCGTGTTTATTTGACATTGTATGCTTGACAATATAACCATTTGTAACATGAAATACTAACATATTATTTTGCTCGTATGGCATATCTTTAGACAAATAGATGGGCACAGATGATATTCGGATTGCTACAACCTAAATGATCTTTGGCCTACCGTCAGAATGGGCGTGGCAGGGAGGTAACCCTCCTGCATGGACTTCTCGTAGCTAGGCTGGTCAAAGGTCGGTGGAACGTCGTTCTCGTTCTCCACCTCAATCGTGACCTGATGACTGTCTTCGTAAACTCCATCCGAAGCAGTGACGGTGATGTTGTACTTTTGGTAAATGGCAATAAATTGCACAACGTTAGTTTTGGATATGATATTTGGTAGAACACTCAACCTGAACGCAAAAAAAAACAGGCTGTATTAAATGAAATAGAAAATATCTTGTTTTTATTGTAGCTTGTCTCAAACTTTTCCCGAAAACACACTGCATTGCGAAACAGTTTCGATGGAGACACCACGATCCGAGAGTCGCTGTTTCAGCCGCTGCAGTCTACATGTCTTACTTACCCTTTTTGTTGTCTCATAGTCGAGGTTATTTTTGACTGTCACAGTGCCGGTGACCTGGTCGATGTCAAACGCCGCTCCCAGGTTGCCACCAGTGATCTGGTAGTTTATTTTGGAATCTGCAGACAAATAGGTACCTATGTATGTAGCAGTCGACGATACATATACGCCGCAAAACGAAAAGGTTTCAGACCCTTTCATTTCGAACAGATGAGCGTCATTATCAGGAAGTAAGTAGAATGCACAAACAAAGGCTGATTAAGATCGAAGCAAACATGTCCGTGACATTTGTTTGACATTATGATCCGATTTTGACGAGATCCACGCAGTTCTGGCCGCAGTAATCTCTGATCGGCGGCTCGGCTGGGCGGCGAGCGCCGCATCTCCGCCGGTCTGCCGTGTCTCACCGCTGTCAATGTCGGTGGCTTTGATGTCGAACACCTTGGAACCGATGTCGACATTCTCCTTGACGTGTGCCGTGTCGATGGCCGTCTCGAATTTCGGCGGGTTGTCATTCACGTCTCCGATCTCAACGGTGATTCGCTGCTTGTCTGAAACGCAACGGCGAATTCATTGTAATTCGTGATGTCGTTTAGGTAACACCTTTCAATCGTGGGAAAACAACGACCTCATGCATGTAACAAAGCTTTGAAATGCAGGTGTCTGTAGCGTCGATTTCTTGCTTCATTTGACTCTTTGTTGGACTCGGGGGAGATGATGTCTGTACCTTTGTTGTGCTGTTTGTCTGGGGAGATGTATATGTGGACTGATGTATATGTGGACCTCTGCTGGACTGCCTGTGGGGAGATGTATAATACCTACCTTTGTTGGGCTAGGGAGATGTGTATACCTACCTTTGTTGGGCTGCCCGTCGGGGGAGATGTCGGACGGCGCGCCGTCCTCAGCGTACACGGTGACCGTGTAGAACGGGCTCGGACGGGAGGCGTCCTCGCGGTCCAGCGGCACTCGCGTGGAGATGCGGCCCGTGCCGGACTCTATGCTGAAGAGCTGGTACTCGGCCGACTCGCGGTCCAGGCTGTACGTCACCTGGATCAAACATGGTCATACCCAACAAGTTAGTCAACGGGTTATGAGTGCATCTAAATAAATAGTTATGGTTGGTGGAATTTTTAAGTAGTTCATCTAAATGCCATTCCATATGTAGTGGTCATTCATCAGTGTAGACAGCCCTTTGTAAGTCAAGACTTAAGTCATTTAACTTAAGTTAATTTTTTATTTATATTTGTGTTTATTTGCAACATTTGTGTACTGCTGGCCGAACAAGATAACAATATATACTAATACATATTTAGAACACCGTGCTCTACTGATTGACCACTGTCTCATATCGGCTAACTGCATGTGCATGCCGTTCCGCTCTCGCACCTGGTTGTTTGGGCGCGTGGCGTCTCCGTCGACGGCCGACACCACGGCCACGAACGTGCCCGGGACCGAGTTCTCCGGCACCACGGCCTGGTCGGCGTCATAGAACGTCGGCACGTTGTCGTTCCGATCCTCCAGGACGATCTGGAACGTCACCTGCGCTGACGTCTGCTGGTCCGTCTGTCAGAAAGCGTCCAACGCAGGTCAGAGACACATCGGATGGTCTGCCTGCCTGTGCATGTGGAAGCCAAGGACTTGCTTGGACTTGGTTGTATTCAACTCGAGCTCATTTGCGTCGAGAATTTAGAATATTCGGTAAACACACTCGAGCAATACGAGTGACAATGTGCATTTTGTACATTCGAAATGGATAATACAACCCGGATAAGCCCGTGGACATTGTTAGCTGCGCCAGGGGCGGATCCAGAAAATCTCCAAGGGAGGGGCCATTAGAAGCCAGGAGGCCCCCCCATAATCCCACCTGTTGGAGGCCCCATCTTCCCACTTGTTGGCCCCCCCCCAAAAAAAAAAACTGCGTCTATTGAGCTTATCTAGCTGTTCAGGCAACATCTCAACATCTGTGCAGGCTTGGAGGCCCTCTGTGCAGGTTAGGAGGCCCTGTAAAAGTGGTCATCTCTGTGAGTATGAGAGACCTCCAAGTTATGAAAAGCTTTACCAATCTTCTAACAAAGAAGTCTTCTCAGCTAGTCTTCTAAGAAATAACTAAGTGGGTAGGTTAAAAAAAACTCATCGGATTTCGGCCACTTTATTTTCAGGAGGCCCCCTTTTCAGCTTTTTTAACTTTTTAACTTTTTATTTTATTTTTGAAAAAAATCGGCCAAGGGGGGGGGGGGCCATGGCCCCCATGGCCCCCCCCCTTGTATCCGCGCCTGAGCTGCGCACCGCGATCACGTACCGTTGCCACCACAGTGATGTTGTACGCCGGTGTCTGTTCGTAGTCGAGCTGCCTCGTGCCGCCGTAGCGCACAATGGCCTCGCCGTCCTCGTTCTCATCCACAACAAACGTTCGGAACTTGTTGGTCTGCTCCTGGGCTCCGTGGAGTAGTTCGTAGTACACCTTTGGACTGCCCTCCAGGTTTGAACTGCGAACACGTGGCGCCGGAGATGATGACGGTGTTGCGATCGACACAATCTGCATAAGTGAGAGTTTTATTTGAAGCTGTTCAACATCTCCGCAATATTTCGCAAATGCATGTAGGTGGCCATTGCGAACGGTGGAGGCATCTTATCGTCCACTTCCATTGAGCTAGGCTCATTCCAAACATTGCGCCAGTCGCTCCGACACTGCGCGACCGTGTCGTCGTTATCGAATACCGGACATCCGATAACCGATATGGTCAGTGGCGACTCACATGCCGATAGGGGCGAGTCATCAGTGTGTACCCTCTGTGTCTCCTCCCTCGCTGAGCCACCCACATAGCCGGGGTCAGCGGCTCACAGGCCGACAGGGGTGAGTCTCCCGGACCTGACTGTCCCCCGTCCCCCTCTGAGCCACCCATACCACTCGGGCCGCGACTGACAGGCCGACAGAGGTGAGTCTCCCGAACTGATCCCCTTCTGAGCCACTCACACGGCCCGCAGGGTGGCGATCGGCGTCTCCGTGTCACGGTAGTTCTCCTTCAGCATGTATCGGGGCTGCGGCGGCTCGGTGAACGTGGGCGGCTGCAGGCTGGAGTCCTTCACCGCTATGGTGACCTGCGCCCGCGCGCTGAGCGCCGGCTTGCCCTGGTCCGTGGCCACGGCTGTCAGCAGCACCTCCGTGTTGGTGCCGAGCTGGTGGAGCGTCACGGAGGCGGGGGCGTCACGCAGTGTCTCTGTGTCTAAAAAACTAGTGAGTGATACACCGTCTACCACAGGTTTCCTGAAGGTGAGTGACGCAAAACAAATCAGCGTGATCGGGAAGGCAAACGCTGATTATTGACCGCGCATTTGCCCTCTCAGTAGAGCCATGCCTGACGTTGGACCCCTAGGCCTGGGTCCTAAGAAACCTGAAGTCGTTGCCATCTTATCGATGGTTCAGCCTATTTGTAACACCCCGATTACCTTTGCACGGCGGTGTTTCGTGCAAACCAGTATTTCACAACTGTGGCTACTCACAGCCGCCAGAGACGTCTTGGACGATATGATGCCCGTGTGCGGGTCGATCTGGAAAAAGTCGCGCGCGTTGGGCGGATATTTGGCCTCCAGCGAGTAGGTGATGGCCGCGTTCGGTCCGATGTCGTCGTCGGTGGCTGACACGCGCTCCACCTGAGTGTCCACCTTGACGTCCTTGGCCACGCTGTTCTCGTACGCCTGAAACGGGCCGCCGCCGGAAGTGTTACACACACTGCGGGATGACGCTGGGCTGATAACGACACCGCGGCATTGTGACTCACTGGGAAATCTCGGCTAGTCAGTGCACCATGCTCCTCCCTGAGATTTGTACACCTGCGCGACATGTGAAAATTGACTATGAGCCATTGATATTTCAGCTGCACACAATCAGACATGGCCCTCTTATTTATTTAATCGTTATTCAACCGTTGATCTAGTTACTAAGACGAGCGATTTGGCTTACCTGTTTGTCAAACATTGGCGGATTGTCGTTGATGTCGAGGACGGTGACCATGAACACGCACGTGCCCTCCAGCGACGGCGTGCCCTTGTCGCTGGCCTTGACGATCACGCGCAGAGACTTCTCGTGGTCCGGGGCGTCGCGGTTGAATTTCTGCGGCAGAAACAATGTTTTGTTTCGCATGTAAGCTGCATGTATGGCTTTATTTGTTTGTGTAGGTAGGTAGGTAGGTACATTTCAGGCCTGCTGGGTGACTTTTTGTACCACATATTCAGGCAACCATTATTTTCGTCACCAAGATGTGTGTAATTAGTGACGGCCACATGAAGAAGTGTCCTCTGATATTGCACGCGATGAAAGGAACCTCGCCGCCCTCAGAAAATGCAATCCCACCTGCACAACCTACACTGTATGGCGTACCTTGCTTGTTGTCAGCCTTCCGTTTGCTGAATCGATCTCAAACAGCGATTCGGGGGCGTTGGGACTGGTAACCAGGGCGTAAACCAGTTCAGCGTTGAGGCCTTTGTCGGCGTCTTCAGCGACAACCTGGAAGCAACCAGACGTCAATTCTGCCACCAAGACTTATCCTCGACGAATTTGTCTCCAGTGATGAACAGTAGAACCAGTGTGATAGACAAATCATAAGGGGTAAAAATTGGGCTGTAAAGCGACATATATCTTCAGCACGAAGCATTGAAATTACATATACATACCTACAGGACTAACTTGTCGCTATCAGTGGCGGCAGAACACCTTCCGATTAAGGGGGGGGGGGGCACCGCCGACTTTTGACCCCATTCTTTCCATGCAACGCCCATAGGGTTAATGTTAAAATGCCAAAATCAAAGGGGGGCACGGTGCCCCGGTGCCTGTTCCGCCGCCTATGGTCGCTATTACCTTCAGTACGAACGTTCCAGCGGGCTGGCTCTCGGCCACCTCTGGCTGGTACTGGTCACAGTCGTTGAACACGGGTCTGTTGTCGTTCACATCTGTGGGTGTTCAGAACTCTGTGAGCACTAGGCCACCTCTGACGCCGATGTGCCAATGCACCTCCCATTTCCAACTCCTCCACTGAGTACCTACCTACATACCGAGCAGGCGGCCGACCCGGCGTGCCGGCGCGCCGACTGACCTATGATTCGGACGGTGACGGACGCCGTGTCCTCCAGGTCAGAGGGGTCTCTCGCCACCACCGTGAACCGGTACTCTTCCTCGTCGAATCGGATCTCCCCCGAGCGCAGCCGAATCACGCCCGTCAGCTCGTTTATCGTGAACTGCCAATGCATCGAGTGGTTAGGCTCCCGTTACCGTCGAGTATCCCCAGCAATATACCTATCTATGGACCTCTTCGTCCAGACCAAGGTACAAACGGAATGAGGCGCTTAGGCTCACTTGCTCTTTCAAAGCGTTTCGTATGATTTGCTTTTACAAAGGTAGCATTTCGTACTGCTGGTGCGCTAGAGGCAACGCACACCGTTGCGAAATGGTGAACTGACAGTTCCATTTCACGTCGATTATTCTGACCATTCTGACCTTTCTGACTATGAAATTGACCATTTCGTATTGCAGTGTGGTATTACCGAGTCCGGAGTATGTATGCTAACTGACCATTTCGTATTGGAGTGTGGTATCGACCAGACCGGAGGTCCTGATGGAGTACCGGATGGCGTCCGTGTTCGGATCCTGGGCCACCACGGCCACCACCAGCGACCCTGGGGGGAAGGGGGGAGGGGAGATAGCGTCACGGTGACTCTGTGGAGGGATAGCACCACCACCAGCGATCCCGAGGGGGGGGGGGCAACGTCACTGTGACCCCGGAGGAACCTGTGGGTCTCCTAGTACAGGGCCCCCAATACAGGGTCACCCAGTCACTGTGATCCTGGAAAGGCCGTGGACCGTGGGACCTCGTGGGTCAGCGTCACTTGAGTCGCATGGCATTCGTCACTCGAGGTTGACCGACAAAGTGGCCAGTGGCCATGACTGGAGGCGCCTACCTCCGGCGGCGTTCTCCAGCACGCTGGCTCGATACAGGTCGTCAGAGAACTGCGGCGGCTGGTTACCGGCAGACAGAAGCACGGTCGCCAGCTGCGCCGAGCCCGAGGCTGCAACAGGGGTCAACACTCCGGGTCAGCTCCGATCCACTCCGAGCGCGGCCATCGTCAGCTGCCGGTCACTTCTTTATAATCCAGGAATCGGCAAAATGGGCTGCAATTCACGAAGCATTATGCTTACATGAATCCGAGATGAGACAGAGAGTAGGGCTTCGTTCCGTCTTCACCCTGTTGATCAATGACGACCTACCTGTATCCTCGGCGCGCACGGTGAAGTTGAAGGCGCCGGCCGCCCTGACGAGCTCGCTGCCGGCGACCCTGGTGTAGACGCCGCCATCATCGTCCACCCTGAACCGGGTCGGGTCACTGATTGTGTATTGGACTTTGGCACCGGGCCGGCTGGGCAACTGGCGAACACAGGCGAACCGGTGAGAGCGGGAGACCGCGGAAATCATCAACACCACGACCACTGATGACAGCGGATGGTGGTAACTGGGGTTTGCAAATGGCATGTCACTGTGTGCTAGTCGTGATATTTTTTTTTTTTAAAGTCGTGATTAAAGTAACTTTATAATAATTAGTATTTTCGTTGAACGCCACGATATTTAGCAGTGTTTTCGGTTTATATTATCATGTCTAGGCCAATTACATTTCTACCTGACAAGTATATCGGCTGTTTGTAGATTGGTAGTTAAAATGTGACTTACTGTTAACAGCCGTGTATTTATTTTTGTGCCAGCTGTGACGTTATTCAAAACGTATTGGGTTGGAACTATGCTCTGTCTTCTTTTTCTATGTGCGCCTGCATCTGAAAAGTAAGAGTTTAATCACATTTTTTGATGACTATTCATTTTGTTTGACCGACGGCCGTGTAAGAACTGTAAAACATCTTTTTATATAACATGTGCCCCCCAGGCCCTTTTCATAACTGGACGGGAAAGGTGGGTTGTTATTACCACTTGGCAATACCTTTCTAAGGCAAATAGAAACGCCAGCTAGCAAGATGAATGGGCTAATTATAAGTTTAAATCCTTCCCATACATATTTGGTAGAAAAATACACTTTACACATTACGCCGTCATGTAAGCTACGTTTCCATGACACGTCTAAATCGATTTTTACGTGTGTTTTTCTAGGCTACTATTCAGCTTATGAAAAATGAGCGTAGGTACATAATACATATAGTCTTGTGTGAGCGTACAGCTAGTGATCATTCGTGAACCTCCGCTCGGTCCAAAAAGATCGCGATTTAAAATGATTTTAATGGCGGGCAATCTTCCGCAGACAAATGACAACTTCAGAAAGTAGTAAGCTCTCAAATGTTTCCATAAGTTTCGAGTTGAGATAGCCAAATTGAGGTCCCTGGCTGGCAATTTCCTATATACAGGGTGTCTCATAATTAACCGGACTCTACATTTGTATGCCGTATATAAAGCCAACAGCGTTTTTTTTCCAAATGTGGCCGCCTTATCAAACGGGAGATGTTGTAGCCATGTTGGGTAAGACGCTGAGACAACTTGCGGGTTAACTGGTGCCGTAATTCCTATCACCATGGCAATCAGCTCTCATGGCTACCGGGTGGACGGCGGATTTGAGGCACCGGCCTGGCTTGCTGCTGAGTCCTTGTCTCAGCTTCTCCCGCTTCAGCCAGACGAACAGCTGGGAGCGGCCGATGTTCAGCTGCTGGCAGACCCTCTTTGGGCCATTTTGCCATGAACCATTCAGACAGAATGCGAAAGGATGCACTGTACTTTGTCGGTATTGCCATTTTGCTTTGGCGCAAATCGCCGCAGGTATAGTTGAGATGAGCCGGCCCGTACTGACCGGTCGGGTCACGATCGGGACAAGATATTGTTGCTGTGGTTGTAGGACGTAGGTATATGCTGCCTTGCGCGCAACATTTGTCACAATTAAGATACCAAATTATTGCTTCCAAATGACGCCATAGGAATAGCGGAGGCCCCCAAAATGAACAAAAATAAAACTTAAAAGTATAATTTCTAAAAACCGGTGAATATTTTCAGTGAAAATTGGTAGAAATTCATTTTGTCTTTTTCGGAACCACGGCAGGATATCATATTTATTCCAATTCACTAACTTTTTAAGGTGGAAGGGTGGTTGTGTCTGGAATTTGGTGGCCCTAAGTCTTACAGTGCTTGCGCTATTAAAGGGACTATCCCACCTTCTAAAATGTTGTTAAAACCAGTTAAATTGTGCCCGACTTTATAGATTGGATGACCAGGAACACGGTTCTGGCATTTATTTTTCATTAAACATCTTAGGCTTCCCATATTCCAAACACAAACTTTCAAATATGTGACGTCACAGCCCAAAATTACCTCCTTCCCCAGGCCACATTACTGTCATAAAGCTGATTCTTTTTACTCTGTAGGCACCACAACAAAGTTCAGACCAAGTTTTAAGCGATTTTTCAACGAACAAACCCATTTAAATCAGAATGACTAAACGAGGTGACGTCACACTAACGGTCGCTCCATGTTGAAGATAGGGCCTTGTGCAAGGCCCATTTTCAAATGAAGGGAACGAATTTCTTCAACACCAAGAGGCCGCGGGGGTTGCAACCTAGATAGATAGTGGTTTCTGAACCTCGCCGCAAACTTGGCTATCTCAACTCAAACCCCATGTTAAAGGTGGGATAGTCCCTTTAACGATAAACTCAGCGATTCCGTTGCCGCTAATAAAGCCCAATTTTACCCTGACATTGTACCGGTTTTGGTGACCTAGTGACCTGACCTGTAACGACAGAGACCTGGAATGTTCAGGGAAGGTGCCAAGCGGTTGCCTTAGAGGGCATGCCAAATTTGGCGGCGCTACGCGCCGATGTTTTTAAGTTATTCGCGAAAAACCTTGGGGAGGGGTCGCATCAACGCCCTGGCCCGGCGAGGAACCCTCGCCCCGCTGGGGGCAACTTTGCCCTTCTGTGTTTTTTCGTGAATAGCAAGAAAACGGCGGCGCGCAGCGCCACCAAATTTTCAGTGCCTTCCCGGGCATCAATTTGACACCTTCACACAATATTTCAAATCTCAGGTCACCTTAGGTCAGGAGTTATTGTCTATTGAGGTCAAACTGAGGTCATGTTCGAGCAAAAATGAGCAAAAAACAAATCTTGAAACGCTCACAAAAGCATGGGCGTCGCCACCACTACGGACACTACGGACAGTGTCCGTACAAGTTTTGGAAGGCCCGGAAACTTGTACGGAATGTCCGTACAAGTTTCGTCGACCGCAAATGCAGTCTTCACACATGTTTGAAGCAGGTTAAAGTTTATCAGGCCCCTATTTGTGGTTAAAGTTACGATCCAAGGCCGCCCCAAAGTCAATGTCACGCAAGAGTAGGAATATAGGGTGTAACGAAGTTATTCGGACATCTATTTCTTATTTATTAGAACTCATCCCGGCCGCGACCGCTAAAGCCGCGCTTTGCCAAGTGGTTAGGAGAGTTGTCAAGATAACGACAAGCATACGACAACAATCGATCTGCAGATTGACTTGTATTATTGGCAAGGCAGATAATAAGAACTAGAAGGCCCACATCATGACCCACCAGCCCAACACTATCCACCCCTTAACTTGGTTCTTCTGCCTATCAAACTGAAAAAGACAACGCAATGGACGGGAAAATAGCTAGTGCACCACCTTTGGCCTCACGCCAAGACACATCCACTGCACTGGTCGAGGGAAGACATGAGCGTTTGGTGGAGTGGGCAGCTATTCGCGCTGTATTGTCCTTTGAACCGTCAAAGCGGCTTGTGTTGGCTGCCAGTAACTCATTACTCAAACGTGCCGGCCGTCACCGGCGTCAAACATCCGGCCAAGATCCAGATCTGGGACATGTTCAGCTTATGTGCGATGTTCCAGCTGTGCATTGTGTCACAGAAGACCACCTTCAGTGACGAGTATTACCGAAGCAGCATCCTGGCAAACAAATAATTGGAGCCGTTCAACCGGACGGCACGGGAGGGCTCGATTTCTAAAAACGCATTGATTTTGATTCAAGCCACGCTGCCTTCGTGCAGGCTGGAGCGCTACATTTAAGTCCGTAGGAGAATCAGAAGTGACATCAGGAGAAGCTCTTATCCTTCTGGACTAACGGGCGCCGACTTGGAAATAGTTGTCATCCTGATTTCATAGAGATCTTAAGGATTTTTGTCCAGCGGGAAGTGAATAAGGGGACACCCGGCACCAGGACCGCCCAACTGTATGTGAGCACATACATGCTAATACGGCGTCTGTCCACATCAAACCCACTTCTTGAAAACCCAGTAGCTGGAATGTTACAGGCATTTCTAAATCTTATGAAAGCTGGCGATATCTTCATCAAAAGGAAAACCTCAGGCTGTCTTGTTTCTTAACCCGCGCGCCGCGAAATTTGGTATGACTATAACCTCATCAATTTTACACATGGTGTGCAAGTTTGAATCTCCTACCTTTTAAGGTCAGGTCACCAGGTCACTTTGAATGACCCAACCTCAAGTCACTTTTTTTGCAACTTTGTCACCGTGCCAGAGCTACAGTAGATGTCGGAGGCCTTTGAAAGTCGCAGGATATTATTAGGTCATTAGTAGCTACAATTTGTATATCTCGGAATTTTGATATCGGTGACCTAAGGTCAGGTCAATTTCGCGACCTCCCCATTATAAGTCAATGGGGGAAAAATCAACTCCCTGTTTTTACCACTAAAACGGGTCGGAATGGCCCCATATACCATACATGACTTCATATACGATCAACCTTCACTACCTTGAGGTCTGTTTTGCTGTTGGGCAGCTGCAAGGTCATGTGACGTCATCAAAGGTCACCAAAGGTTTTTGGCCAATAACTCCGTACAGGAACAAGATACAGACGCGTGGATGGTCTCATTGTGTTCAGCTCGTCAAGACGCATCGAATGATATACATGATGACCTCGAGGTCACGTGACCTGAGGTCAACCTTTGACCTTGACCTTTCGAGGTCAACATATATATCATTCAATGCGGATTGACGAGAGGATCACGATGATGCCCTTAGTTTGTTCCTATCTTGATTAATTCGAAAGTTATTCGAGAAAACTCTCTCCATATCTAGCGCCGCCATTTTGACTTTTTCGACCCCTGTGACGTCATCTTTGACCTGACCTGAAAATGACCTTAGTAAAAATTGTAGATCTTGGCCGTGCGTATCCGATGCCGTTTACCGCTTGTCGCTATCTTGCTTCGTTCTCGAGATCTCAGGGGGGGCGGTCATCCGCCCCCCCCGTCGGTGCGAAGTTGGCGCAGACCCCCGTCGGTGCGCGGGTTAATCACAGCGGGAAGAAAGGTGACCGGATAATTTCGTTACACCCCGTATCCTTCTATAGGCTATTTTACTGATACGTCAGTCATATTACCCTAATTATGTCACTTTTGTCATCCTGAGGCTCTAAATGAATGCTTAGATCAAAAGGAATGACAAAATCGTAGCCAGTGACTTCAAATAGGTACAGCAGTCAGCAAATGAGACTGATCATGTGTAAACGTCAACCAAAGGCCATTCGAGGTCACATGAGGTCAACATAAAACTTGACCTTTTCAAACAACCTATATGTCATTCGACGTGTCTTGACATGACCAATGCGTTGGTACCACTGCTTTAGGTCTAGGACCTTTTTTGGTGAAGAAATCTGCAAAAAAGCCGCAGCTCGGGGTCGCTAACCTAACCTTTGACCTAATGTCGCTAACCCTTTGACCTAATGTAGGTTGGTATCAATTCTTTTTTTTTTGTCCCATACCTATTGAATTGTCCACCATGTGAAACATAGTGGAACAGGTATGCAGGAGTGCCCTTCCATGCCCATGTGACCTGGCTACGTTAAACTCAGAGACACTCTTCCGCGGAAAACACTGGTGCACCTAATTCAGTCGCTCGCTTTCACTCATATCACTTACTGTTTGCCGGCCTGGGCTCCACCGACACGGCAGCAGCGCCACCGCATAGACAAGGCCATCAACTTCGCTACCCGCATCGTGACCAGAAAGCATCGACACGAACGCATCTCAGCCGCCAGACGAGAGTTAGGGTGGCTGCAGTTCGATGCTGTGATCGATTATCGTGACTCCGTGCTGATGCATTCCATTGTGTACCGGGACCAGGGGCCACAGCGTCTGAAGGAGTTTGTCTCGTACCGAGCCGACATATCTGAGCGAGAGACGCGTGCATCCAGTGCTGGGCTATTGGAGACTCGCCGCTGCCGCCTCGAAGCGACTAGAATGTCTGTGCCCGATCGAGCTGTTCGCACATGGAACCGGCTAACCGTCGCTGTCCGCGGAAGCACCGCCTGCGCATTTAAAAGAAATGTAAAACGTGCTCTGTTGGAGACCACCTAGCGTGCCAACTGTCTAGCAGCTCTCGTTGTACTCGTGTCTTGTATCTTTTACTCGTCTTCTAACCCGTTTTTTTTTTTAATCGCGGTGTATTATTTTAGAGATAGGGAGAATGTGTTTTAGGCTATGGCACACAATGTATGACGCTGTGGCGTAAAAGCCAAATCGTATGGATGCCACAAAGATTTGCAATAAATAAATAAATAAATAAATAAATAAATACCATAGAACTTCATTCAACGAGGGGAATTCAAGCACATTAGGTCACATCACTCCCCGCTCTTTTTTTAGCTATGGACAGCCCGCCACCACAGGTATTAGTAAAAAGGTTACCCCTGGGGACCGCAGACAGATAGCATGGCTAGTGACGTCCGCTGAGTACCCAGGGCTGACAATGGTTAGGTAGGATAAGGACAAAAAGAGACGAAATATGAAAAAGCAAACAATGCATGTAAAATGTGTTTCTATTTTTTCCCCAAAACCACTAGGCATTCAGGGGCTATCGCAACTATTCGTCCGAGGTGTGTATGTGGGGGGGGGGGGGGGGAGGACGAAAAACACCCTCCCTGGGTCCGCGTGGGTTAACGCATCTGACGAGTATTACGGCTGACAGAATATGTCCGTACAAGTTGGGGACCCGTGGCGACGCCCCTGCACAAAAGCTACAGTTACCAACCAATTTCAAAGTTCTTTATATGGTCATGAAAGTCACTTTACCTGCTGCCCGATCCCCATAGGATGAGATGGTTGACAGCGCTGCAACTTTTCAGATTTCTGAGAAATTGCGAATCACGAAGTTAAGGATTTCACGAAGTTACCTCTCCTTACCCTAGGTCAATTTAGGTTAACCCGCGCACCGACGGGGGGGGGCGGATATCCGCCCCCCCCTGAGGTTTTTCGCGAATAGCGGAAAAACCGCGGCGCGTAGCGCCGCGAAATTTGGTATGACTATTCCCTTATCAATTTTACACATGGTGTGCAAGTTTGAACCTCCTACCTTTCAAGGTCAGGTCACCAGGTCACTTTGAATGACCCAACCTCAAGTCACTTTTTTGCAACTTTGTCACCGTGCCAGAGCTACAGTAGATGTCGGAGGCCTTTGAAAGTCGCAGGATGTTATTAGGTCATTAGTAGCTACAATTTGTATATCTCGGAATTTTGATATCGGTGACCTAAGGTCAGGTCAATTTCGCGACCTCCCCATTATAAGTCAATGGGGGAAAAATCAACTCCCTGTTTTTACCACTAAAACGGGTCGGAATGGCCCCATATACCATACATGACTTCATATACGATCAACCTTCACTACCTTGAGGTCTGTTTTGCTGTTGGGCAGCTGTGAGGTCATGTGACGTCATCAAAGGTCACCAAAGGTTTTTGGCCAATAACTCCGTACAGGAACAAGATACAGACGCGTGGATGGTCTCATTGTGTTCAGCTCGTCAAGACGCATCGAATGATATACATGATGACCTCGAGGTCACGTGACCTGAGGTCAACCTTTGACCTTGACCTTTCGAGGTCAACATATATATCATTCGATGCGGATTGACGAGAGGATCACGATGATGCCCTTAGTTTGTTCCTATCTTGACTAATTCGAAAGTTATTCGAGAAAAACTCTCTCCATATTTAGCGCCGCCATTTTGACTTTTATGACCCCTGTGACGTCATCTTTGACCTGACCTGAAAATGACCTTAGTAAAAATTGTAGATCTTGACCGTGCGTATCCGATGCCGTTTACCGCTTGTCGCTATCTTGCTTCGTTCTCGAGATCTCAGGGGGGGGCGGTCATCCGCCCCCCCCCCGTCGGTACTAAGTTGGCGCAGACCCCCGTCGGTGCGCGGGTTAAATTTAGAAATTGCTATTTTGCAAAGAAAGGGTATTGATTCGATGCAGCTCGTCACGGGAAAACTAATGGTCCTTTTCGTTTTGCGCTACGTGATCTATAACGGCTAAAATTGAGCTTAACCCGGCAGGCCTACCAGCCACCTTCCACACGGTGGGTGGGGGGGGGGGGGACACTTTTTTGCCCCCCCCCTGTATCTCCGAAACTACTGGACGGATCCGGAAAATTCAAACGGCGTTCGATAGCCCTGTCAAATTTGTCGAGGGAAACCAAATTTCATTGACCTCGGGGTCACCGATGACGTCACAGGTCAGGTCAAAGATAAAATGTTTCACCGTTCACAGGGCTTCTAGGGAAAGCGCTCTAACACCGAGTAAAACGCATTTTGTCGAAAATCAGCGATAAGACGTCAGTTGTCTAGTACATATGTTGCTATTAGAGGTCACTGGTCATACCAGGTCAGGTCACAGGTCAGGTCACCAAAGGTCACCAAGGGTCACCACATGAGCCCAACTTTACTAAGGTTATGTGATGCGTGTTTTATGGCCAGTTTTTCATTTCCAACTCAATGGTGTTGGTTATAAGACCATCAGGTACGGTTTAGGTCACTTTCTAGTGGAGGTCAGGTCAAGGTCAGGTCAAAAAAGGTCAAATTTCAAAGTTGATATTTTTGCATAAAATGGGTATCGATTCGATGCAGCTCGTCACGGGGAGTCTAATGGTGGTCTTTGTTTTGCGCTACGAGGTCTAGAATTGCTAAAAATTGAGTTTGAAAATTTGACGTCATCAATTTTTAACAGTTTTTTCGCTATAACTTGGCCAAAAAACGAGGTATCGATCTCAAATTTGGTATGTAGATAGAAGGCGGTAGGGACTATCACATATATTCCGGTTTTTTTCGAAATTCAAAAAACTTTTTGGATTTTTTGGCTATTATATTCAAAAAATCTATTTTTTGATTTTTGGGGGTCAAAATCCAAAAAATTCGAAAAACCGAAATAGCAGTTTTGTAGCCCTTTTGATTCCACACCTTTTATGTCAAAAACATTTTTCTGTATCTCTAAAGCTGTAGGCCTGACAGCTCTTCCCGCGAAACCTTTTTTTGGGTCGAAAATGGCAAAAATGACGTCACTCTTACGTCATTAGCGGCCAACCTATCATAGCCTTTGGAAAAATTTTTGGTCACCATGTGCGCTAGCTGCTCCCGGGAGGGTACTGAAAGTTTGGTGACGATCGGCGCACGGTTGTCGAGATATATCGAAAAAAGTAAAGGGGGGGCAAAAAAATGCCCCCCCCCCCACCGCCTGGAAGGTTAAAATAGTAATTATTACGTTATCAATTTTGAGTAGTTTTTCGCCATACTTAGCCAAAACATAGCCAAAACTTCGCAGCTTAGTCAGTAGGGCTTTGGACTCCGCGTGGTGAGAGCACGCGTCCCGGTTGTGAAAGTCCGGGTTCGAAGCGCAACGGGCGCTCGGTGTTTATGACCATACTGACCGGTATGGTTGTGGTTGGTGGCAGGCCATATCCAGATGAAGTCATTGAGGAAACCGGCCTTGCGCGGCTATGATACGTTCAACTTCGGACTCAAATTCTACCATAGGTCAGGAACTGCGCGATCGGAGGGTAGAGGGTAGGGCCAACGCAACAAGCTCTGTTTAGGGGGTAGGTAGGGGTTGTGTCCTTGAGTATCCTTCCATTAAAAAAATTCGGACTAACTTTAGAAAGAAAAAAAGAAGGTATCGATCTCAAATTTGGTATGCCGATGGAAGACTGAAGGAGATGTACCTATCAGATATTCCCAATCCCGGTTTTCGAAATATGCATAATGTCGCAGATTTTGAGGGTATCATATAGCCATTTTTTATTTTAGTTGATCAAAATCCAACATTTTCAAAAATTAGAGATAATTTTTTTTAAGCCTGTCAATTCTACGTCTCTGATGTGATTATCTTTAAAAATGTAAGCGTGACACCTCTTCCCGCAAAGCATTCTTTGAGAGTCGAAAATTGTGGAACATGACGTCACTCTGACGTCATTTACGGTGTACCTATCATAGCTTTTAGGAAAACTTGGCCACCGCGCTTAAAAAGAATGCCCGGAGGGGTCCTAAAAGTTTGGTAACGATATCTGCAATACGTTGAATGATATCGGTAGAGAAGGAGAGGGGGGGGGGGGCATTTTGACCCCTAGTGTTAAAAGACTTACCTGATATTGCAGTCAATGCAAGCAGCACGGCAAGAAGGGACATTGTAAAACACCTTTGAAATGACATGCTGAATATCACTTTTACACTCATTGACAGTCTTGTTTCAAATATCTAGCTGCATTCATAAATGTCACTTTTTTCTGGACGCTGTGCTGTGAATTTATTTATCGGTTCACAGCTAGAACAGCTCAGTCAATAAGGCAACGCGCACCTTGGCCATCGGTACTCTGGATGGCCACAGGAATGTCGTGCTGGTGCAGTGGGCTTGTCTCTCGTCACTGTCACTCTTCACCTCTCGGTTCGGGCCCTGTGTCTATATCCGTCGTTCGAAAACCGTTACCACGTATCAGAGTATCACACAGAGATGCTCCTGAAGCGCTCGCTGGTCGTTGTCGCTTCAAACACACAATTATCGATTACTGATGTACACCCATGTATACTTATTAATTCTTCTTCTTCTATATAAACCAAAAAACCTTTTGCACACCAACTAATTCAATGAACCAATGCACTGGGGAAAGACCACTCGAAGCCACGTTCAAACCGCACCAACTGCCCCTGCACACTGGTGTGCTATCAGGAGACGGTCTGCCGATAGGCTATCGGTGCGGCGGCGGCTGACTCATACACACAGGATGGCAAGCTCGACTGCGCGCGAACAGGCACCGAGTCGGTGAACAGGCACCGAGTGAACAGGCACCGAGTCGGTGAACAGGCACCGAGTCGGTGAACAGGCACCGAGTGAACAGACACCGAGTGAACAGGCACCGAGCGAACAGGCACCGAGTCGGTGAACAGGCACCGAGTCGGTGAACAGGCACCGAGTGAACAGGCACCGAGTCGGTGAACAGGCACCGAGTCGGTGAACAGGCACCGAGTGAACAGGCACCGAGCGAACAGGCACCGAGTCGGTGAACAGGCACCGAGTCGGTGAACAGGCACCGAGTGAACAGGCACCGAGTCGGTGAACAGGCACCGAGTCGGTGAACAGGCACCGAGTGAACAGGCACCGAGCGAACAGGCACCGAGTCGGTGAACAGGCACCGAGTCGGTGAACAGGCACCGAGTGAACAGGCACCGAGTCGGTGAACAGACACCGAGTGAACAGGCACCGAGCGAACAGGCACCGAGTCGGGCCGTTAGGTACGGCCCTCCAGCAAAAGAGTGGTTGGCTAGCCTATGTGCTTTTGGTGTAATAACTTTGAATGACAGAGACACTCCTGTAAAATGTCTCAATAGAAATGAGAAGAGGGCTCGTGCACACACTTCGGCAATGGTTTTCAACAGCCATTGCCCATTAGACGTATTCATCAATGCAGATCGCTTATTGTGATGTTGGCAACCAACCACTAAATACCTGGAGGGCCGTACCTCGTTCTCTCTCTCTCCCTCTCTCTCTCTCTCTCCTCTCTCTCTCTCTCTCTCTCTCTCTCTCTCTCTCTCTCTCGCTCTCTCTCTCTCTCTCCTCTCTCTCTCTCTCTCTCTCTCTCTCTCTCTCTCTCTCTCTCTCCTGTCTCTCTGTCTCTCTGTCTCTGCTGGTCTCTGTCTC